CTGTTTTCTCTTCTGCCAATATTTTACTTTACCGTATTTCAGCCGCAGACAGTGAGCCAAATCAGAAACTGTGTTTGGCCTGCTGTTCTTACTAAGCCTCTGAACACGATGCTCAATTATTCCTAGTGAAAAATAAACACTCAGTTTTGCAATGTTTTTTATTTTATTTTGTCAATATGGGATACGATGTTTTTGTGGCCATTTCTGGGCTGCAACCCAGGACTGGTCTCCAGCCTTCCAAATGCTATTGCAAACAAGAACATAAAAACAAAGCAAAAAATATGGGCAAGAACTTCAGACCACTTACAAAGTGTCTCAAAGGTAACATCTGAATTGAGACTTTCTCCCCTGCCAAACCATTCTTGTTCAGAGGAGGAACCTTGCAGGGCCATTGATTAGATTAGAAACGGAATGGTCACATTGCAGATACTGAGGCACCGGGACCAGTAGTCCTGCATACCAGCCCCCTCGAGTTAATATCTTTTCCTAGAGAGCTTGTGCAAGCTGAGAACAGCTGTGCTGGAGCCATGGGAAATGTTAATGGCTGGAGAAGGCAAGTGCTTCTGGGAGGCTTCCAGCTGTGCTTGACAAGATAGCATCTGTTCTTGCTGGCTGGGAACCAACGGTGCCCGTTTCTCCCCCCCCCCCTCCATTTCTGCAAGTCAATCTCCTCTGCTAAGCCTCTTTCCAAATATTAACATTGCAGGCCGAGAAATCAGTAACCAGTCGAACTCTGAAAAGCAGCAACCAACTGCCTTTCAGGTCTTCTCACTAAAGCTTTTGCGCTCTGAAGAATTCTTCAGCAAGCTGTTTGTTCAAATATGAAGGGGGGGGGGAGCTGATCCAGAGCATGATGGAGACTGTAGAAGCCTGAAAGTTGCAGTTTGTTGTAGGGTTCGGATGGGATATAAGAAGTGTTGCGAATATAAGTGGACTAGGCTGTGCAGTGTGCAGACTGATTTTCTAGATGCACCAGTATTTAAAAGTGGGAAATGGCCATATGGAAAAGTTAGCAGTTGACTGGATCTTTCCCCAGCACTAATTGGAATATGTCAATCTCTTGTAAAGCAGAAAAGCAGAGAACAGTGTGCTGGGGTGTATGTATGGAGGGGGGCAGTTCTGCGAGCCAGTGTGGTGTAGTGGTTAGGAGCGTGGACTCTAATCAGGGAGAACCAGATTTGATTCCCCACTCCTCCACATGCATCTGCTGGTGTGATCTTGGGTCAGTCACAAGTTCTCTCAGAGCTGTTCTCACACGAGCAGTTCTTGAAAGAGCTCTCTCAGCCCCACCTACCTCACAGGGTGTCTGTTGTGGGGAGAGGAAGGGAAAGGAGACTGTAAACTGTTCTGAGACTCCAAGCGAAAGGCGAGGTATAAATCTAATTTCTGTTCCTCCTTCTTAGGAAAAAGCTGTGAACAGTGAAGACACAATGGCCCATTCTGCATCTAGCATTTGTTCCATTCTGTTACCAAACCCACACTGGAACAGAAAAATATGCAGCTCAAAACGACATTCAAATACCCCCAGGTCAACACTGTACTGATTGCAGAGTCACCCCTGAATGGCCATAAAATGGCCATAAATCTATGCAGACAGTACCATAAAACTGAGAGATCAAACAAAGTGAAAGTGGCGTGCAGTCTGGACACTGCCATAAAATTCGACAATCAATCAAAGTGAAGGTGACATGCAGCGCAGAGGGAAATGTCTGTTCCAACATGGGTTTGGTAAAACAGCAGAGCAAGTGCTAGATGCAGAGTGGGCAAATATAACTATTTCTATCACCATCGAGTTTCTGTTGCTTGGTAATGGTGAGGCTAATTTTCCTTGCCCTCTCCTCCCTCCCAGAGGGAAGATCAGGTGTGAGATGAAGCCCTGAAACAAAGGAAAGAGAAAGGCAATTTTCACTGTGTCTGTGGGAATTCCATTCCGATTTCTCAGCACTGGGGGAGGAAACTTTCCTGTAGGCAACAGAATTCTTGTGTAGAAAGTATAATATGCAGCAGACTCAGGGGTCATTTCGTAGAAAAAGAGGCGCAGGAGCTCATTAGCATAACTCATTAGCATAGCTTATTTGCATGTGCCACACCCCCTGACATCACTGGAAGTGTGTCAGAAGGCAACACCCACTGCTCAGGTGCCACTGGACTGTTTTGGATTGCTAGCTATTGGGGGGGGGGGAACGTGCAGATCTGTCCTCGCAGAGGAGGGAGAGCTTGTACCTGAATAAAACTTGGTCTTAACAGTGCCACTGGATTGTTTTGGACTGAGGGGCCAGGGGGAGCTCTGCAACTTACCTGGCTGCTTCTTGCTCTGACTGAGGGCTGCTGGGAGCGGGGGGGGGGGAGCTTGTTGCATGTTCCAGCCCCCTGGGCTCTTTACTGCCGGAGCTCTGCTCCTGTGCGCTCCTGCAGGAAGTGGCCCCTGAGCAGACTTTCCTTTTTCTGGAGAAAAGTGGGAGGGATAGGGTTGCCAGCTCCAGGCTGGGAAATACCTGGAGATTTTGGTGGTGAAGCATGAGGCGGGTGGGGTTTGGGGAGGGCCATGACTTCAGTGGGGTCTAATGCCATACAGTCCACCCTCCAAAGCAGCCATTTTTTCCAGGGGAACTGATCTCTGTCACCTGGAGATCAGTTGTAGTCCCAGGAGATCTCCAGCCGCCACCTGGAGGCTGGCAACTCTAGGGATGGAGGAAGCCCCTGGAAGATGGAGACCAACCTGTGGGCTATTTCTGAGTTTCCTTTGGCCTCCTAGCTGCATCTCTCCTGCAAACAGCTTTCCTCCACGCAAGGAAAACACATTGTGGGAATCCGCCTGGCATTCAATACTATATTCCAACGTGTTGGTTTCTGCCTTTTGCTCTGGAAACTTCAACACATCTTGAATCCGTGCCAGAGATCCTGGAGGGCAGCTGTCGGGGGTGTCTGAGTCATGCTTCGTTAACTCCCATCTTAATTGCATTTAGTCATGTTCCTGTCATGTCACCGAGCTGGGGAGTGGAACAGGTTTGTGCCACACCCCAAACAGGGCGTGGCGCTTGAGGCCTGTTGTGGCCGGGCCATGGGAGAGTGCATTGCCTGGTTGTGAAATACGTACATAGAAGTCACCGGCCAATGATATTTTTGACTAGGCTCCAGGGCTCTTTTTGTAGCAGGAATTCCTTTGCATATTAATGTAGCCAGTCCTCCAAGAGCTTACAGTAGGCCCTGTAAGAAGAGCTCTGTAAGCTCTTGGGGGATTGGCTACATTAGGGGTGTGTCGCAAAGGAGTTCCTGCTACAAAAAGAGCCCTGTAAACAGACCACTGAAAAAGCCCTCTCTTGTGACCCAAGAAGCTTGCCTGTAAGAAGAGCTCTGCAAGCTCTTGGGGGATTGGCTACATTAGGGGTGTGTCACCTAATATGCAAAGGAGTTCCTGCTACAAAAAGAGCCCTTAGGGGGGCCTGGACGTTAGGGCCAGACAACACATAAACAGGCCTTGATGGGAAGTCCAGATTCATTATCTGGCTCTGGAAAGCATTTTGTAGGGGAGGAATCTGGATCGGAACCACAGCGCTGATGATTGCGAGCTCTGAGTTGGGAAATAGCTGGAGATTTTAGGGGGGTGGAGCCTGGGGAGGGGAGGGGACTCACCAGGGTATAATGCCTTTGATTTCATCCTCTAAAGCAGCCATTTTCTCCAGGGGAACTGATCTCTTTCACTTGTTGATGTTATAATCCCTTGAGATTTCCAGGTGCCACCTGGAGGGTGGCAACTCTAGGTGAAGGCTAATATAAGTATTCTTCAGTTTATTTTTGGGACGGTGGAACTGAACCTCCTACCCTATTTATCCCACCTTTTGCCGTGGCTGTTTCCTACTGTTTGTGGTCGCTTTCCCCCCAATTGTCTGATGGTGTCACCGCAGGAGTATTATCTCCCCTTTGTCTTCATTCTCCGATGCCAGGCAATCAGGGATCACATACGAGATGTGATGATATTACAGCACTATATAGCCAAGCAGAGCTGGCTATCTGCTGATGTCACTACAAAGAAAGCTGTTTCAGAGTGAGGGCAGTGCTCTTTGTACAAGTTATGTGCGGGTAATCCTAACCAGTCAGGGATCACAGGCAGAGACCCTTGTGACCCTTTTGCCAATGAGCTCCCCCTCCTCAGAATATCACCAAAACACTGGGCCTCTCTTTGTTCGGATGAAGAGTTTTTGCAAATCTGTGGGGATCCCTTTTCTTGGGGGTCACATCTTAATATTAAAAAGTAGCACTCTGTCTTTAGTTTATTGCAGATTTCTTATAGCTTATTTGTCTTGAGATCACAGTCTGTCTCTTAAAATTCAGACTGTTCAACTTCATCTCCAGGGTCTCAGTGAAAGGAGGCATGGGTGGGGTGTCAGAGAGAACATTGTTTTTTTTGCGGGGGGGGGGGGGAGACTGACAGCACTGACCTACTCTCCTCCTGGAGAGGAGTCCAAGGTGGAAACCCCGGGAGGCCTCAATCTTTGTTATTCTAGGTTTCCTTGATATCCCCCTTGCTTATTGCGGTGAGCTCATTGTTTATCTTGCAGTGCTACAGGAAGTGTCTCAGTCTGAGCCAAGTCTGGCCCTTTTTCTTCAGAAATGGGGGAAAAGTTCATAAGACCAACAATAACATAAAGACCAACAATACAACTTTCTTCGAATACATTAGTAGCAGGAAACCAGCCAGGGAGGCAGTGGGGCCCTTGGATGACCAAGGGGTAAAAGGAGTACTGAAGGATGATAGAGAAGTGGCTGAGAAGCTGAATGCATTTTGTTATGTATTAACCGCAGTCTACGCACACGGTCGGGTTAGCACGTGGTCATGCGCTAGGGCTAAGCTTCGCTCAAAAGACAATAGCCGGCTTGGATCCTAGAACGGACCAATCGGCCACCCCGGATCTGGGAGTGGACCTGTGGGTGTTAGTACACTGTAAATAGCCTATCACGGGTTGTGTGTGTGGGGGTGTGTGTGTGGGGTGTTTGGGGATTTAAGCAGGGCTCTGACCCTACTACATCGTCTTGTATCTTGGGGCTGAAATAAACTATGAGCTGATTCACTTTTACACATCTGGACCCAGTACTTTACACATTTTTTGCCTCTGTCTTCAAAATGAGAAGTGCTTGCCCACTCCAGAACTGCTGATTTCGGGAGGGGTGTTGAAAGACCGGAGTCAGACTGAGGTGACGAGAGAGGAGGTCCTACGACTGATAAACAACTTAAAAACTGATAAATCACCGGGCATACATCCGAGAGTTCTGAAAGAACTCAAATGTGAACTTGTGGATCTCCTGACAAAAATATGTAATCTTTCATTAAAATCTGCCTCCATTCCTGAGGACTGGAAGATAGCTAATATCACTCCCATCCTTAAAAAGTGTTCCAGAGGAGATCTGGGAAATTACAGGCCAGTCAATCTGACGTCGATACCGGGTAAGTTGGTGGAAACTGTTATTAAGGAAAGAATTAGTAGGCACATTGATGAACAAAAACTATTGAGACAGACTCAGCATGGGTTCTGTAAGGGAAGATCTTGTCTCACTAACTTGTTAGTGTTTTTTGAGGGAGTAAACAAACATGTGGACAAGGGACACCCAATAGATGTTGTTTACCTTGACTTCCAGAAAGCTTTTGATAAAGTTCCTCATCAAAGGCTCCTAAGTAAGCTCAATAGTCACGGGATAAAAGGAGTGAGTATAAATGGGCAATTTTCTCAGTGGAGGGTGATAAGCAGTGGGGTACCACAGGGATCAGTACTTGGTCTGATGCTTTTAAACTTGTTTATTAATTATTTGGAGTTGGGAGTAAGCAGTGAAGTGGCTAAATTTGCAGATGACACAAAGTTGTTCAGGGTGGTGAGAACCAGGGAGGATTGTGAGGCACTCCAAAGGGATCTGTTGACGATGGGTGAGTGGGCGTCAAAGTGGCAAATGGAGTTCAGTGTGGCCAAGTGCAAAGTGATGCACAGTGGAGCCAAAAATCCAAACTATAAATACACGTCGATGGGGTCCGAACTGGCAGAGACTGACCAAGAGAGAGATCTTGGAGTCATAGTAGATAACTCAATGAAAATGTCAAGACAGTGTGCAACTGCAACAAAAAAGGCCAATGCTATTCGGGGGATTATTAGGAAGGGAATTGAAAACAAATCAGCCAGTATCATAATGCCTCTGTATAAATCAATGGTGCGACCTCATTTGGAGTACTGTGTACAGAACTGGTCACCACACCTCAAAAAGGATATTATAGCATTGGGAAAAGTGCAGAAAAGGGCAACTAGAATGATA